ATAGTTATCTTCTCTATTTACTTTTATGCCTTTCATGTGTATGGTTAGTATAATTTTCATACCTTAGCATTGGATCTTCGCTCACATTGAGTGCTCTAGTTATAGATCATGACTAGGGTAGTAATCGATTGGCTAGACATGGTGTCTAGTCTATAGGTTACCTGAGATGGCACCCAACCCTATGGATAGTTGTGGTAGCCCCAGGTGGTGGCAGCCCTGATGGCCGACGTAGTCCACCATGTTCGTGTTGGTGTTTGTAGGACCATAGTCGGAGCTTCCTAGTCCCTTTCTCATCCCTTTCTGAGGCTAGTGTTCCAATGTCCCATAGTGCTATTGTGTGTGATCGCTATATCTACCCATGCTTTAGTTATACCCTCTAGTCTAAACTAGAATAGAACCGAAGTAATAGAGAAGTATTTAGGAACTTTGAACTCACCCGTTGTCCTCTCAACTTAGCTAAACTGCTTATTTATTTTATCATGGAATTCTCCTATGTGTGTGTTATTATTCATAACTCTTATCATTATCAACACTTATCCCCACTTTTGTTTAGTTGGTATATTAGTTAGTAGATACATGATGGTGAACTATCAGCATCTTGAACCATTGTTTCCCTATGAACAAATACTATACATTGGAATACTCCCGGGTGAAAGCTATAGCGGTATCCGTGTGCTTGCGGATTTATCTGTGTGCGTTTAAAAATACCAACACCACCATCACGGTGGACGGTGCCCCATCAGGCGCCTATCGATGTCTGAGATGGAAGAACGCCGCTGGCTCGGCCTTTGTTTCAATTGCAACAAAAAGTTCGGGTGTGGTCACAACCAAGTGTGCCAGCACCTGTTTTTGTTGGACCTAGCGGCGGCGGATGATGACCATGAGGCCACCCCCGATGACTTGACACTACGAAACCGCTGCTATCGCTCCACACGATCACCGACGTCCACACCAGCAACACCATGCTGGTGCACCTCCAACTAGGCGACGTCAATGTCCAGACCCTCATCGACTTAGGCTCGATGCAAAACCTCATCGCCAAGGAAGTTGACAGCCGCACTGGTCTCCCATGGTCTGCTGCAGCTATGCACCCGTCACAATGGTTAATGGCGAGTGCGCGCCGAGCACAGGCGTGTATAAGCGGGCGTCGTTCTCCATTGACTTCTTCGTGCTCCCCTTGCCAGGGTACGACGTGGTGCTGGGTACCCAATGGCTCGCCACACTCGTTCCCATCCTGTTGGACTCTGCGGCCTTCACCATGTCCTTTTGGCACAAGGAACGTCCGGCCTGCTGGCTCTTGAAGAAGTTCGTCAGCACCCCTCCAGCTGCACCACCAGCGCTTCCACCTACCCACCATGATGATATGGTGCCTGAACCAGAACGTGCTGCCCGCACGCGCCTCGTCCGGGGTGTTCGCCAGGTTCTCGTGCACTGGAAAGGTGAACCAGCTGCATTGGCCACCTGGGAAGACATCGATGGCTTCCTCAACCGCTATACATCCTTCCAGCTTGAGGACAAGCTGCTCATCGAGGGGGGAGAGATGTCATGCGCATGCAGCTGTGATCAATAGCAATTAATAGATGGTTGAGGATTAGTAGTTATGGCTACAGCTGTAGAGGCGCATGTAGCTGCCAGGAGCACGGCAGTAGAGGAGCATGCCGCTGTAATCAATAGCAATTAGAGTCTGGGGAATAGATTAGAGTTAATGAGAGATTAGAGTTAATGTTGGGGAGAGAAACAAGGATCCAGGGCTGGGCGCCTAGGGGCTGAGCTCCTCTATATTTATACCTTGTAACCAGTTGAGATTGAATCAAGCAATGAACAAACCTATTCCTAATCTCCCTGTTCTCTCTTAATCTCATCCCCTTCAACATAGGGCGTCTAGGGGATAAACCCCACGCCATTATCAACCCAAGCTACGAGCTTCGTTGTCGAGGGCTAGATACCTTGAGCACCAATGCCCTTGACAACCTTGCTGACTTAAAAAGGATGAGATACTTGTTAACCTTCTTTCATATTTGTTAACTAGTGGCCAAAAATCAGCAACTGTTGGCTTTACTAAGCTCAGGGGTAAACTAAGGTAGGTAAAGGGCAAAGTACCTTTGGAGCAACCAAATGTCTGAGCCAAAAGGTTAAATCTCTCTTCATTGACATTAATAGGTACCATCATAGACTTTGCATAGTTGACTTTGAGGCCTGTTAACTCAGCAAAAGAATTGAAAATTGCTTTCAAGAAAAATAATTGCCTTGCATCCCCTTTCATGAAGATAATGGTATCATCTACATATTGCAAGATAGGGAAGTCATGGTCCTAAGGTAGTGGCACAGGTGGGGAGAGAAGACCTTGCTGCTGAGCTGAATTGAGGATACTTTGTAAAACAACAGCTGCAAGACAAAAAGAAGAGGGGACAGGGGGTCCTCTTGCCTCACTTCCCTCTTGCAGTGGAAAACCTTGCTAGGAACACCATTTAGTAAGGCTACAGAACTACCAGATGTAAAAATCATTCTCATCCACTTAATCCAAAGTTCAGGAAAGCCCTTGTTTACCATGATTTGTATCATTAGTTCATGCTCAACTTTGTCAAAAGCTTTTTCAAAGTCCAGTTTCAGTGTAATGACCTGAACGGATCTTGCCTTAATGAAATCATACTGATTTTTATGGATGAGCCTAGGAAAAACCTGTTGAAGTCTATTTGCAAGAATCTTAGTTATGGCCTTCATGGAGGTGTTCAGGAGGGAGATGCATTATCATTTTTTAGCACTAGGACAATATGAGATCCATTCAGACTTTGCATACAAACATTTCCCAAGTAGAAAGAATTACAAAGATTGTAGAAATCATTGCAGATGATGTGCTAGCACCTTTTAATAAAATCAGTGTTAAAGCCATCTTGGCCAGGAGCTTTATCTAAAGGCAAACTTTTAAGCACCAAATCAATTTCTTCTTTACTAAAATGGGTCACCAAGGAGGACAAATCATGATTAGATTGGATAAGATCAGACAAATTGAAGGTGATACCAGTGAATGAAGATACTCCTAGCCTTTCCTTGAAGGAGTGCTAAATAAGATTAGCCATGTCCTTGTGATCAATGACCAACTGACTAGATGAGTCTTCAAGAGCTGTAATGAGATTGCCCACGTATTTGATTGTAACATTAGCATGAAGCCTCCAATAGATATGTTGCTGGTGTAGGAGAGAAGTAAGTTTTTCCTCCAGCAAGGATTTGAAGTTCCATTCTGGAATGGTTAGGTCCCTGAATTCTTCAATGAACAGTAGAAAAAGAAAGGGTTAGCTTGACATTAGCAATTGCCAATTTGAGGCTGGAGAGGTTTTTTGCCAATCCTTTAAAACTCTCCTCAGGTTTTTGAATTTTCCAGTAAAGATTTGTTGCATCTATGATGTAAACAGGAGCCACCCAACCCTGCTGAACAACATTCATAAAGTCATGATGATCCAACCAAAAGTTTCCAAAACAAAAGATATTTCTACTGGGATAGAAGTGGAGATGGAAATCAGACAAGGTACATGGTCAGAGGTGTCCATGACCAGAGGGTAGACAAAGGTTGTAGGGTAGGATATTGTCCAATTAGCAGATGTAAAGAACCAATCCAGCCTTTCTAGAAGTGGAGCAAGTTGCTTATTAGTCCAAGTAAACCTCGTACCTTTCAAGGGCAATTCAATAAGACCTAGTGCACTTATAGCTTCATTAAACAAGTACATTTCAGTGTGGTCACCTCCATGTTTATTCCTATCAGCTGGACTTCTGTATAGGTTAAAATCTCCCACCAACAACCAATTAGTCAAGTCAGGCATCTGAACATTCTTGAACCAGCTAAGAAAATCCCTTTTACTAGATGAGGTGCAAGGAGCATAAATGTTAGAGAGGACTCAGATGTCATTATTGTGCTTAGAACAAAACTCTAGAGAAAGACAGTTGTTATTCTGAAAAATCTTAGTGCCAGCGAAAAGAGAAGATTTTGAGACGACAATGGATCCACCAGAAGCACCTAAAGAGGGTATGTATTCAAAAGCATCAAAAGAAGGTGTACAAATTTTCTTGATGAACATAAGATCAAAAGATTGTTTTTTAGTTTCTTGGAGACAAACAATGTCACACTTACTTTCAACAATTCTGTCTCTTACAGCATCCCATTTTTTTATCAGAGTTAATACCTCTAACATTCCAACATAAAATATTCCAATTTCTAATAGCCATAAAACAAAAGAAATGGGCAACATAGGTCCTAGACAACTGCGGACCAGAGGAAGCACCCCCTGACTAGAGGATTCAGCTTGAGAGTTCTTTGCCTTCTTTTTGTTCACTGCTTTCTTTCTTATAGGCTTGGCTTGGAGCTTGGAAGGAGACAGATCATCAGGGTTAAGACCATAGAAGGAGGCACCCAGGTTCTTGATGATCTTGGGAGAGATTGTTGGAGGTGTAACTGAACAACACCCAGGCAATTTCTGTCCTTACAGATGGAGGATTTGAAGCCTCTATGTAGTTTCTTGAGCCTTGTGCTTCTTCTCACATCAACTTCAGAGAGGGGTGCTTTGCCTTTGCCTTTGCCCCTGTGCCTTTTAGGAGTCTGGAGCCCATCAGAGGTATCAACCAAGGTTTTCATTTTCGAAAATTTAAAATTATCGGGGGCCACAGATAAAGAGGATAAACAGGATATATCGGAAATATCGGACCAAATTCAAATAAAAATTGATTTGAATTTAAGTAAATTTAAATAAATTTAAACAAAATTTGTACGAAAAAGATAGATATTTTCTTATCGGCACCTACGGATAAAAAGGATATATCGGAAATATCGGGATATTTCGGCCGATAAAGGAAACCATGGTATCAACCAATGAGCTAGGCATCTTCTAGATGTGACAGCTGCTCATCCTCTAGGAGTTCTAGCACCACAGAGGATGATTGTTCAAAGTTTGAAAAAGCAGGAAGGACAACATTTGGGCAATCTTTAGGAACGGAGAAAAGGGTGGCATTACCTGACATTTCAGATCTCATAAAGCTCAAAGCATTGGATTGTAGGAAATCCTTGGCCCAGTCAAAAGTGGGAGACTGCAAAAGGAGGAAAGAAAAGAAATTCATCCAAGAATCAGGGATAAGAACTGAAGGAACACATTGAGAATGGTGGGAAAAGAATTTTACCCAATATCTGTAGTCCTCAGGTGAAGGACCAAGAGGAGGCAGGTGACCAATTGGAGACAAGTTACCAAAAATAGGATCAACGGCAGGTTGAGCAATCTGCACCATCCCAATCTGTATATTCTGGTCAACAGGTTCAGGGCCAAGCTGATGGAGATTGTCAGCATCATAACCCAGCAGATCTTCAATCTGAATTTCATGTGGGATCATTGGTTGGAGGTTGTTGAAATCAGGAAAGGGTGCAATTTCAACTGGAGGAATGGGTAGTGCAACTTGAGGAGGCTCAACATCAGAGTCAGTGTCAGTTAGCTCATCCATGGCAGTGATGTGCTCCTGCTGATTCTGAACAGCCTCTGGGCCTCCCAAATGAGTAGCACTAGTAGGGTTGATGATGACTTCTTCCTGAAGATCTTGCTGCAGTTATGATGAGTAATAGGAGAGTAGCGAACGCCAAGAACACGGGAAGCAAACTCACCAAAAGAAGAGAAGGTAACCGGTGAGGAGGGTGAAGAAGAAGTCATCGCTGAAGGCGACGGTGCCCTGAGGCGCCAAGCTCGACTCCAGGGGACGATTACAGGGGGAGGAGGAAGAATACCGGTGACTTCTTTAATGTATTTGGTGATTGAGTGAAACAATTTAGGCCTTAAAGGGGGCACCGGCCCACCTGGCAGTGAATGATCCCGACGTATTCGAGAAACTGAAGGGTCGGAGGCAGGGTGCGAGAATCGAGGCGCAATATCACATTTGCCAGAATCCTGCCCAGGTTGGAGGCATTTGCGGCAACGGATAGGGCCCGTGCAAAAAGGCCGCTCATGGGCCAGAGTCAAACATTTAGGACACAAATTGATTACAGGCTTGAAGCCAGGGTGTTTGAACGAATCTGGCACTGGGCCTAAAATGCCAACACGTGAAAACTGCTGGCTGGCCTCAGCAATTGAAGAGTAAAATGCACCTGGGTCCTTAAACTTTTAGGGCATTCCCACCTGCGTCCTCAAACAAAAAAAAATGACTATCTAGGTCCCTCATCTATTGCCGCCGTGCACAAGAGGTCCAAAACTAGCCACGCAAGCACCAACATCCGACGTGGCACACCACGATGGCAGCTGAACACTAGGGCCCGTGCCACATTCTAAAAAACCCCCCGCTTTCTTTTTCTTTCTCACTCCCAAGTCCATCCTCTCTCTACCCAATCTCCTCCCCAACACCCCCGGCCGACGTGCCGCCTAGATTAGATTGTCGCTTGTCGCGCGCCGCTTGTCGCCGCCTGCGGCGTCCTCCACGGCCATGATCGCCTTTCGTGGTGGCGGTCTTTGCTCGACTCCGCCGCCGGTGGTGGCGGGGACATCCGTGAGCGGGCCATGGCCATGCTGGCCGACCTCGCGTCCTCGGATGCCGCGTGGCCTAACCAGGCGCAGGAGGCTGGCGCCGTGGTGCCTCAAGCTGCCGCTTGGCGCTCAATTCAGCTCGGTCTTTGCCTCGATCGAGCACGCGAGCACACAGCACGCGTTCGCCGCAAGAGAGAGTGTCTTTGGTCGGACAAGAGCTTCCGTCGTCGCCAGCCCCGCCGCGGCTCCTTTAAATCCGTTGGCAAAACATCCAAGTCGAGGCTGCCATGGCCACACGTGAAGCTCATGCTTCGGCGCCATCTATCTAGGAGCAAGGAGAAGGAATGGACGTCGTCACACCGGAAAGTTGATCTGCACCGAGGGAGCACTGGAGATGCAAGATGCATCTACTCGAGACCTGCAACAGGAATGCACAGGGGGTGCGGGGTCGACCGGCTCAACTGTCAACACGAAGCCATCAACCCGTCACCACGACGCCGAAGTGCGTTGAGCTACATGCATGCAAGTGCATGTGTATTTGCACGTACATGCTCACATGCAAGCTAACAAGTCAGGAGACGGCGATGGGCCAGGAGGCAGCCACCTCTCTGCACATGGCGCCAATGAGGAGATCGATGGCTCAAGGGCACGGAGGAAGTGACGGCAAGAGGCTCCAACCAAGGCCTCAAACGTGGCGGCCATGTGCACGTGGCCACGCATGAGGCCACGCAGGCCCTCCACGCCGTGGAAACGGAGCGCGAGTTGACGCCGGGGACGGGACCTCCTGCTGCTCGGCGGTGATGCGCGGTGTGGCCACGGCGAGGGTCGAGTACGGGAGCTCCTATAGGTTCCCTACCAAGACCGGCGCCGCCGTGCAGGAGCCCATCACGCGCTCCTTCTCCATGGCCGCGCAGGAGCCCATCACGGCATCGGCCGAAATCTGTAGACCAAGGAGGCTACTACTGCTGGCAGCTCGGGGGAGGGCGCTGACCAAGGAGGCGATGACGGTAGCAGTAACGTCGCTGACCGCGGTGCTAGCGAGATGAGCGGCCGGTTCCAACGGCTTCTGTCGTCGTTCAGGCTCGGCCAGAGCTCACGGAGCACGGTGCTAGGATCCACCACGATTCGTGACGGTCGGAGCTCGCGGAGCACGGTGTTGGGATCCACCTCGATCCGTGATGGCCGGAGCTCGCGGAGCACGGTGCTGCTAATCTCACAGCCAGGACGCCGCCGGCAAATCCCTTCCCGGCGAGGTCACGGCCGGTGCTCTGCTTTCCCGCTGCGTCGGGTGCCGCAGTCGCATCACCTTCGCCCTCCGTTCCCCTTCCTCTCTCTGAAACGGCGTCCTCCAAAAGTGTGAGGTTTTTTTTTAGAATGTGGCACGGGCACAGTGTTCAGCTGCCACCGTGGCGTGCCACGTCGGATGTTGGTGCTTGCGTGGCTGGTTTTGGACCTCTGGTGCACGGCGGCAATAGATGAGGGACCTAGATAGTCGCTTTTTTAGTTTGAGGACCCAGATGGGAATGCCCTAAAAGTTTAAGGACCCAAGTGCATTTTACTCGCAATTGAATGTGTCTGAACGGCCGAGTAATGAGACGATGAAACTTAATTACCAAAATTAATACGCGTAAAAACCAGTCTTCGGCCAGGATTATTGTGAAATTTGAAATTTGAAAACTCCATGGAAAATGAAGCAAGAGGAAGACGATGATGACCATGGATAGGGATAGCATTGGCACCTGTAAGATGAGTAGGCTGGCGCTGAGGTGGAGGGCCTCTTTTGACAACGTCAGACCATTCGGCTGCTTGCATTGCTTCCCAGTTGCGCAACTCTGCTTCATAGTTTGGCCCGCCACCATGCCAGAGGTGGAAGAAGATTTTGAAGTCTGAGCACTCGAACGAACATAGCTTGAAGATGTGAAAGCCCACAGACTTCGATGAAACGGAGAACCTGAAAACACGATCAGCCAACTGCACCACACGAAAGGCTTGAGAATGGCCTCCCCGCACAGATTGAAGCAGAACCCCAACCGATTGAGGAGAGAGATGAAACTTGCATCTTCCCACAGAGAGAACGAGAAAAAATTCTTGCGAAGAGGAAGAGGAAACAAAATTGATTGGGGAACCAAAACGACGAAGAACCTCAGCCTCAATCACCCGACCAGGCCGGGAATCGAGAATTGGAACCTCCATGGCCAGTGATGAGGCGGAGGCGCCATGGGAGGTGAGCTTCTCAGAAGTCGCCGGTATCACCATTTCAACCGAGATCCAGAGTTTGTATAGAGCAAGTTGTGTGTGTGTGTGTCTACAGATGATGAGCTACAAAGGTTTCTCTGCGATCAATTCAGGATCCTTGCTCGGATTAATGAGTCTATACATAGGGGCCGGTTCGAGGACTCCCTTGTGCGTGAGCAGAACCCAGAGATGTGTGATATACTCGCCTGGTAGCCAGTTTGTTAATGTGGGCGGTCAGATTGTTGGACGGCGTGACGCATAGCAGCTTCTCTGCCCACACCCTGGCAAGCAATTCCCATAGTGTTGACTTGTTGTTGGAGTACTGGTCCATTAGTTGGTCGGCAAACTTTATGCCGTCGGCCAGGATGGCTTCGTATTTGTCGCCATTTTTGCCGCCTATCCAAGACGGCGTCCTTGGAGCGGCACCCGACTAGGCAGTGTTGTCGCGCATTAACCTGCAGCTCTTCCAAGAAGAGTTTCGTGCTGTGGAAGTTGTCCATCACCAGTTCCGTTGCGTAGAACAGCAGGTAGCACAACGGGAAACCCAAGATTTGCCGAGTGACTAGGAGTTTGCCGAGTGTCAAAAATCGAGCACTCGGTAAACATATATTTTACCGAGTGCCACACTCGGCAAAATACGACACTCGACAAATAAGCTTTTGCCGAGTGCCCGGCTCTCTGTAAAATACAGGCACTCGGCAAACCTTAATTTGCCGAGTGTCAGACCCTCGGTAAACTAGAGCACTCGACAAATATTGTTAGAGGCATAACGGCACCCAACGCCGTCAACTTTGCCGAGTGCCAGGCGTTAGGCACTCGGCAAATAATTAAGTTTGCCGAGTGCCAGGGATTGACACTCGGCAAACTATTTATTTATTTTTTGATTTTGGCCACCAAATTTTTTTGGTAGCCCTACAACAGTACCCAGGAACCACATATTCAAATTTGGCACATTTTCACTTATTTTTTCTATATTTCATTAGTTTATTCCATTTTGTTGATTTTTTTCGGAAAATACGAGTTTGAACTACAGGTGCATCGAATATTGGATTTGAATGATTCGAAAAATGACATTCATGTTTATGAGTGTAAGTTTTGGCCAAATCCAGGAACTGACCCGAAATTTCTATCAACTTGCTCACGGGGCAACGCCACCAAATTGCGTGCGAGTTTTTTTTAATTCCATAAAATGCAAACAAAATCGAAAAAACATGAAACTTGTGGAGATGTCGTGTTATCGTATGCGTAGGCTGTGGTAAAAATTTGAGCAAGTTTCGAGCATGTTGTCACGTACCATGCTTACAAACCAGGATATTGTGATGGATGTGATATATATTGTCATGGATGTGTATGTGATGGAGGCATGTGATGGAGGGATGTGATGGAGGCATGTGTGGTATATATTGTGATGCATGTGTGATATATATTGTGAGAATATATGTGAATTGCTTGTCTGTGACAATAATGTGAGAATATATGTGATGGAAAGCAAAAATAAAAAAATTGAATTTTCTGCAGATTTGTCAAGTGCTGCACTCGGCAAAGGACTTTTTACCGAGTGTCACAACCATAGCACTCGGCAAAACTGGGCACAACTGGGCAAACCTGGCTCAGGTCCCAGATTTGCCGAGTGCTATGGTCACGGCACTCGGCGAAACTGGGCACTTTGCCGAGTGCTAGAACCATGTCACTCGGCAAAGATTTTTTTGAAAAAAAAAATTTTAAAAATTTTTGCCGAGTACCGGCCATGTCACCACTCGGCGAAGATTTTTTTTAAAAAAAAAATAGAAAAACTTTGCCGAGTGCCGGCTATGTCACCACTTGGCAAAGGCACCGTCAAATGGGCCTTTCCGTTGACGGCGACTTTTCAGTGCCGAGTGTTGACGTGGCACTCGGCAAAGGCTTTGCCGAGTGCCCGATATATTGCACTCGGCAAAGAACCCTTTGCCGACAAAAGCTATGCCGGCGGGTCTTTGCCGAGTGTAATACTCGGCAAACTCTTTGCTGAGTGCAAACTTGGGTTTGCCGAGTGTTTAGGGCACTCGGCAAATAACCCGTGTCCAGTAGTGTAGGAACTGTAGTCCGAGAGCGTGGTGGCCACCAGCTTGTTCTCGTCGAGGAAGGCGGTGGTGCCGACCTGCTGCTGGGAAGTCTGCTTGTAGTCACATACCGTAGTAGCAATGTGCCAGATGAGCATGCTTGGAATGATCCCCTGACCATGTATGCTCCATCTAAAGATCACCAAGAGTGAGTCTTCGTATAATGGTCGTCCTGTCCTCAGATATAAGATATTGAAGGTTTAAAATTTTATGCCTAATTATAAAGTATATGCTCCAATCCAAAATATCGTAAAGCTCTTTATACCTCAATGATTCTTCTCTCCCCAAGTTGATGAGCGCCCTGACACCATGGTTGATGTTGTATCGCCTTATTTCATACTCACTTGCATTATTGCCAGGACCCGGACCCATCAACCCGTCCACATGGAATTTTTTTTTATTTTTAACACTTTTTTAAAACTATTTTTAATTTTAACACTGTTTTTTTTCAAAAGTAACACTTTTAGCCTTACCTATTTTCAGGGTGCGGTGAAACAACTCTGCCGCGCCATGTATGGCGGCGCGTCAGGAGTGCGTACGTGGCAACGTCCCGGCCCGCTAGTCGCTGATGTGGTAGATCTTGCCGCGCCACCGATCAGGGCACGGCTGTGACGCGCCACCCGTCAGGGAGCAGCAGAGCCAAATAGAGGCCCGAGGCCCAGTCCCTTTCCTCCCTCTCTGTTTCACTCCGCGCCGCACAACAGCCGCCTCCGCGCCTCCTCCGCCGGCTCCTTCTCTCCCTTGTCACCCTCTCTTAGTCCCTCCCTGTCCCCACTGCGCCGCTGCCCCTCCCCGTCACCGGCGCGGCCACCGCTTTCCTGTGGCGCGGACTCCCTCTCTCCCCATCCTCTTCCTCCCCTGCCACCCCCTGTCCTTAACCCTCCTCCAACTTTGGGCGCAAAAGAAACATGTGTCTGCAATTGTTGAGTTCTCCTTTCATAAGTGCAACGAATATTTTATCAAGAGGTAGGAACTTACGCAGAGGAATATAGCTGAGCAGGGGCGATTTGGAAAGGTCGGAGCAGAACATTTGAAGGAGGCCGAGGAATTGACCAAGCAGCACATCGCTGAGCCATATGGACCCCGCCGCCATATCTTTAGTATATGGGATAAGGGTGGCACAAGCTTAGGCGGCAAACGTTATGGTGGACGAAACTACCGAGATGATCTTGACAAAGTAGAGTGCAGTTGCAACGTCCCTGAGATCATGCATGCCCCTTACTCTCATATGATCACGGCCTGCAGGGTTCGTGGGTATAACTTTGAGGATCTGCCATATATGTCACCCTTGTATCTCTATTCGAACACCGTTAGTATTTGGGAGAGGAGCTTCGAGCCATACCTTGACCCGACACAGTGGCCTGTAGTAAGCGGCCTCTGCTTTATCTACGGTCTCTGCGGCCTGAGTGAAGAACGCGTCGTCATCCTCCTCCGCCTGCAAGCCTCCTTCCTTGCACTCTCCTCCTCTAACGCCCTCCGTCTCTCCAACCCCCATTTGTCAAGCCTAACATCGATCGGGTTACGAATACCGCGCTGTCTAGCAAACTCACGCATCTTGTTTTTGTGATGTTTAACAAATAGGTTGACATAGTCAGGTCCATATCCCTTCTTATGTGCAATTACTTGCCTCCCTTTCAGTTCATCCAAGAACTTAGCTTGACAATCGTAACATTTCCACCTGCATTTCCTAGTGCTCTGTTCAAACAAAAAATTATATCAGGGTTTATCACAGCTCGATCTACGCATTCGCACAGAGGAGGTTCCTTGAGTCATTTAACTGCGGCTAGGTGCTTCTCCTTAGCCGTCATTGGCGGGGGTTAGGGGGTGGAACCCACCGCTCGAACCCATCACGTGGATGTCTCCGTCTATATCAATCGTTAAAAAGGAGGTACCTAGGGTCAAACTTGTCTGCACCGTCAATCCATTAAAAGAAAAGGCACCTCTCATGGGCCTACACAACAAGATTCCAACAAAATATTAGTAGCCTACTTACATAAATGAAGAAAAAAAGATTGTGAAAATAATTACTTACATTAAAACAACTACATGTGTAGAAGCAACACGCCGCTGTGTCTGGATGTCTCGATTGAAACACGTCGGCCAAGAAACCACAGTCATAGTTAGGGACAGGGAGATCAGGAGGGACGGGGTATCTTTGCAAGACGCGTTGGGGTATAATTCTCTAGGACGACCCCGTTTTCGTCAAAACTCCTCCCGATACATGTCTTGCATCTAACAAAACAGTTGTAATTTAACAAACAGAAATAAAAACATCACAAATTAATGTCAATGAGAACCATTTGTATTACAACAAATAAAGTATAACCTATACTTTGGTGCAAACTCTATCTTAGATGTAAACATGCAAACTATATAAAAACTATACTTTGGTCACTAAAAAATAAATTTGGTACATCAACAATATGTCCATATATTTATTCACATATAAAAGTTGAGATGCAAACTCAAACAAGCAAAATTCATATAAAAAAATTGACCTTAGAATACATGGTAATCATAATTCTAACTAACCAATTAACCTTAACATTAGCAATCATAATCTTAATCCTTCAATCCAACATTCTAACGAACTCATATTTTTCTCCATACCCTAACTACTCATTTAAATCCTTCGATCCACCGTGGAGGCCGAGGAGGAGTTTCATTACGTTGACAAGGCCGAGGAGGAGCTTCGGGGAAGGTAGGGAGGGGGCCGGCAAAGGAGGGAAAGTCGGCGGCCGGCCGTGGGGGAGCCGGGAGGCAATGGCGCGGCGGTGCAAGCTGGGAGGCGTGGTGGCGGGGGCTGGGCGGCGCGGAGGCGGCTGCTGTGTGGCGCGGAGTGAAACAAAGAGGGAGAAAAGGGACCAGGCCGCGGGTCTCTATTTGGCTCTGCCTCACCCTGACGGGTGGCGCATCACACCCGCGCCCTGATAGGTGGGGCGGCAAGGCCTGCCACGTCAGCGACCAACGGACCTTGACGTTGCCACGTACGCACCCCTGACACGCCGCCATGCATGGCGTGGCAGAGTTATTTCGCCGCGCCCTGAAAATAAGCGCGGCCAAGAGCGTTACTTTTGAAAAAACAAAAAAACAGTGTTAAAATTAAGAATAGTTTAAAAAAAGTGTTAAAAATTAAAAAAAAAATCTCCACATGACGCAGGACGTTGTATACAGCGCGCTTCACAGGCATGGGCAGATCCTGGTGAGCCACGAAGCTGCGCCGGAACAGTTTACGCCTTACCCGCTTCGGTAGAAGGAACGGCACGCGAGCAACAAGAGAATTTTGGGACTGGATGCAAGCACCCAGAAGCGAGTACTGCCCCACGGAGTTGCTCCAGTACCGTGTCGTCAGAGTGAAGCTGCAGATGAACCCTAGCAACCTCTCCATGATGGGTTGCCCTCGCCACCGAGGATGGCGCACGTACCTGCACGCCATGCTCACCTTGTGCCAGTCCGAGAACAGCAGTGTCATGTACTGGAACGATTCTACCATCAAGAACAGAACAATGGTCAGCCTGGTCAGCCAGATGTCGAATCCCGTGGCGACCGCCGCAGCGGATGAACCAACGAGGGCGTCGTCACCCTCAGGGTCAGGGCCACGGTACCGCAGCAAGGCTGGGGAGAAGAGAGCACACAAGCTCAGCGTCACCGCCGCGCTGAACACTAGTGTCTCAGGTACCAAAGTTTGGTGAAGAGATGGGTGCCTCGCGTAGAAGAAATCAAACAGAAAACCGAGCTCCACCTCGGTGATACGGTACTCCCACTCATGCTCTTCGACGTCCCCAGGCGGGTTCCAACTGGTTTCATACTCTTTGCGGGTGGGATAGCACCCAGTGAAGCGACGCAGGAGCTGCCTGAACAGAGCAAATGACAGGCACAAGTCCTTAAGATTGCCTGAGCTCAACAGCGCACCGTCGCACTCCTTCACCATCTGAATGTCCACATCTCTGTCTCCTCTACGTCCATCCTCGGCATGAGCCTGTCTCTCCTGGTGATGAACCTGTTCTCCTCGGCGAGAGTATGTTCTCGGCTACCCGCCAGCAGGAAACCCCACAGGCGCATCGAGAGCTTAACAACGTTGAAGAGGACAACTCTGATCTGGAGGTGCAAGGAGCTGGGGTAGGAAAGGAGCAGGAACAGGACATAGACAATCTGGGCGGCCTGATTCAGCATGGTGCGGGCTTGCTGGTCAGAGCCATCGATGCTGCAGGCAGCAATGCCATCAGCGCAGCCAAGGAGGAAGCACGCCCGTACGACCACGAGCTCGTTGCGGAAGGTGGAGGACTGCATGAGCCCAGTGGTGTAGGATACGGCCGGGTAGCTCAGTATAAGCGCCAGCGCCAGCCAGATTAGGAATCGGAAAGCGGGGCTGCGGCTGCTCCGGCGGCCTGAGGTGAGGAAGACCAGTGTGACGAGGAGCGCAAAGGTGAGGGTGACCAGCACCTCCACACGGGGCTGGCGGCCCACGCCGTGGTAGCACGGGTGGCGTTCTGGATGGACAAGTGCTCCGGCATCATCTTTTGGTTCTGCAGAGGTTTATTGCTAGTATACTTGATAGTCGACTTTGATCATGAACACTGTCACTATATACAGAAGAAGAGATGGTGGCAAGTACGAGTTCCTGTGATTGAGTCAATTTCACCGATTATTTTGAACAAGATGTTATCCTTCACGGAACCGGAACAATATTTTTTAACAGGGACTTTTGGATGTGGAAATCCTTGGGCATGAGTTCACATTTCACGGTTTCGTGTGATTCATCAGATTTAATTTAATTGTTTAAAAATATGGATGAAGTCGACATTCAAACTTTTGTTCTCTCTTAACTATCGTAACCCACTAGATGGTCTTCAATCTTCATGCATGGAAATGGACCGGAAGCCCGGTGGAACCAACGACAAGTCTAGATATTGTCAGTTTAATTGTCACCAACCACTATGATCTGGACTTCCATATAGAAAACACCAATGATGGCGAACCAGCAGCGGAACATGCACGGAAAATTGCATGTGTAATGCCAATCTTGACCTTCTTTGGCACGCTGGGTCATTAAATTATCTCATCTCGTACAAGATTATCTATGGTTCGCTTTGTTGGTCTCATGAATTCACATTGCACCAACCGTGCGGTGACAGCTTAGCAACACATGTCATCTGTCCGCTTCCGTCACCCACGCCTTTTGTTTTGTTTTGAAATTAAATAACAACACCCCTCCCATCAAAAAAGCAAGTGCAACTGATCTTGCTCAATTATATTCGATTTGTAATGGAATTCCAAATGGCACTTACGAAGGGACCGTGATGTCTAACAGCAGGATGAATTAGACACTGGTGCAGAAATAGTTTTTGTTGAGGTCTGAATTTTTTTTACATATGCGGCTAAAGAGCGCAGGCGCTCTAGTACAAACAAACATGTGGGACCATGGATTTGAACGGCTAGTGCAGATACACCTACAGTGCGGTAGTGTTAGGTGAATGTCACTTAAGTATATATACCACCAATGTAAATTGATTCTACACTATAGCTAGTTGTTGTCTTTAGTTACTGCCACACACACGGTTTTCTTAATTGCCGCCTACGTACAAATATTTACACTAGCAGTTTTCTTAATATTTACTCTATAAATACTTTTTTCTTTCCCCAACCAGAACTATACAGATGAAGCCACCCTCCATTGTTGGCATCCTTGGAGGTCCAAAAATTGCAAAATACAAAGAGGGAGGTTTTCATCTTCATTTCTTTGAAGCAGGTTGCTCAAGAAGGCTAATTAATGCCTATTGTTGAGTACGTAACAGCGGGGGTACCTAAACCCTAGATTGGATAGCGCTATAATAGTGCAATTAACCCCTTGATTGATTCCCTTAATCAGTCAGGGGCTCGGGGCCCACACCCAGTGGTTGCGCTCACATGCCCTTGCCGCATAACGGAAAAGGCCCATCAGGTCTTAGGCGGCCCAATTAGAAAGCAACTTTGGCTCCTAGGGAACGCCTTGGGACAGGTCAGCGGCCAAGTCGCCATGCTCGAGGGCTCAGGAAGCTTCAGAGAGTGCCTAGTCTCGAACGGTCCCAACCGACCACAGAAGGCCGGGAAGCGTGGCTCCCTCAAGGTGTTGTGTCCCGACCAACCTTTCACTCGCAGTGACATGGGAAATCACCTGACAAACCCTGACAGAGGCCCAGAGCATGACACGTGGGCAGAGCTACAGGGTTCCATGCCCTACCAAAGCTCTGCCTCCTCAACTTTGTGAGGCTGTGTCAACCACTCCCAGTTCAATGTCACGCCAGGGGTGTGACACAACATGACAAAGCGAGCGTGCACCACCTATGTCAGGATCGCCTCCCTCTTAAGTAGGTTACTTAACCAAGTAGTCTTCCATTGACTACCATTAGTTAGATAAGACACTTAATCGGTCATCGTAGTACACCACCCATATGATGTACTGAACCAGTTGTCGCGGGGTCAAAACCGCGGCAAACATTGTTGTTCGTCGAGTGTCACTGACTGTGAGGTCTCCGGTGGTTCGGGTAGACTCAATAACACAAAGAACACACAGAGGACACAGAGGTTTATCCTGGTTCGGGCTATCGAGGCCCTACGTCTATCAGTTTGATGATCCTTGTATTCAAGAGCACCCAAATCGAGCGGTTACAATAGAGTGTAAGAGAGATTTGGCTGGGGATCGCTCGGTGCTAATCTTGGGCTCGTCGGCAATCAGGTCTCTTCCTCGTCGGAGAGTGTAAGAGACAATGGAAAGGGGAGGAGCTCTCGGTACTCCTCTCGGGGTGGCTCTACTCTCGATGCAGAGCTTGAGCTATTGGTCATGAGGACTCGAATGAATCTATTTTGTTCGTCTGTTCATCCTCTCCCCTCTATAGGATCCGACATCCCCTTAAATATCGAGGTAAGTCGGGTACATGCCGGTTTGGGGAGTTTAATCTATTGTCTACGTGCGCTGGGGTCTAGGAGGGCATTGCAGCAGCGCGGATAGACCTTGGCATTGGTGTGGAGCTAGAGAAGCCCTGGTTGTTGTCCGGCTGCTCTGTTCTAACACTCTGACCGTCAAGCTTTTGTCAGCTTGGACCAGCCTCCACCAGGTGCACCTTCTGGAGGCTTCCTTGGTGGCAAAGGCGTACGTCTTGGGGGCTGACGAGAAGGCCCGGGAGCCCCCGAGCCCCTGAAGCCAGCGAAGGGGTTTTGTCCCCTTATGTCATGCCCCGTGCGTGACCCTGTCGGAAGAGTGGTTGACAGCGCTGCACCCGCTATGCGGCGCCAGGGAGCCCCCGATCCATGGGTGCTTGGGGCGCTTGCTTCCAGCCCGGGTGTAAGGTCGAGATGGCGGACTAGAGGGGGGGGTGAATAGTCTTTTGTAAAATTAATCGCGTCGGCTAACCGAAACAAATGCGGAAATACAACTATCGGTCTACCCAAGACTACACCTCTCAATATATGTTCTATAGCACCTTGCAAAGATACTAATAAAGCAACTAAGGTGCCGGGCTAGCTAGAGCTCTCCTAAATAATTCTAGGAGCAAGGTCACACAAACCTATGCCACTAGTACTTTAAGTAACAAGGGAGCTCCTACACATGCTAGTAAGCAAAAGCACAAAGCTAACTAAGCTCACTAGCAATGCTCAATAACAAGGCAACCAATGCCTAATTAGAGAGCGCAAATACTTAGCTACACAAACTAAGCAATGTGACTAACAAGGTTACTAAAACCAAATTAGCCACGCAAGGGAGCTACTTCTATGCTACACAAGCAAGAAGGTAATTAGCTAGCTACACAAGCTATCTAATTACAAGAGCAACTACACAAGCTTAAGATATATAAAAGTAATTGCAAGCTTGTGTAATGGGGATGCAAACCAACGGGAAGAACAAGGTTGACACGATGATTTTTCTCCCGAGGTTCACGTGTTTGCCAACACGCTAGTCCCCGTTGTGTCAACCGCTCACTTGGTGGTTCGGCGGCTAATTAGCATCACCCGCTAAGCCCGCACGTCGGGCACCGCAAGAACCTACCCCTTGAGTGAGGGTAGCTCAATGACACTCTTTACTAAAGTTGCTCTTCGCGACTCCCGCGGGGCGAGCAAAAGTACCCCTCACAAGCACTTCTCCGGAGCGCCGCACAAGCTTCTTGCGGGCTTCGACGGAGACCACCACCAAGCCGTCTAGGAGGTGGCAACCTCCAAGAGTAACAAGCACCACTAGCTTGCAACACGACCACCTAGTGCCACTCGATGCAACCTCACGATGCAATCGCACTAGAATCGCTCACTCACACAATCGAATGATCACTATCAAGTATATGTGTGATGGAGGGCTCCCAAGCACTCACAAGCATGGACACTAAGTCCCCCAAGGTGCTCAGCACTAGCCATGGCCGAGGGCCACTTCTATTTATAGCCCCAAGGGCTAAACTAGCTGTTACCCCTTCACTGGGCAAAAGTCGGGCTGACCGGACGCTCCGGTCGAGTTGACCGGACGCTGGACCTCAGCGTCCGGTCGTCCGCAGACGGCCACGCGTCCTGATCCCAACGGTCACTTGATCTGACCGGACGCAGCGGTAAAACTGACCGGACGCTGAAGCCCCAGCGTCCGGTCGTTTCCAGTAAGCTCCTCGAGGCATATTTTCTCGACCGGACGCGTCCGGTCCACCTTGACCGGACACAGACCAGCGTCCAGTGCAATACCCTCGGTATAGTGCAGACCCGTCAGTTTGACCGGATGCAGCCTTTCAGCGTCCGGTCGTTGCGTGACCCAGCGTCCGGTCAGTAGACAGACGCCAGCATCTTCGCGATCAACTCATTTTCACTTCTAACTTTTTCACCCTTGCTCCAATGTGCCAACCACAAGAATTTGCATCTGGCACAATAGAAAATAGGCATTCCATTTTCCCGAAAGCGCCGAACCCATCTCAACCCTGCAAACACCACCTCCTTTGTAAATGTGCCAACACCACCAAGTGTACACCACCATGTGTATGTGTGTTAGCTTTTTCACAATCATTTCCCAAAGGATGTTAGCCACTCAACTTGCCACGCCACTCGATCCTAGCGACGATGCAAAGTTAGATCACTCGAGTGGCACTAGATGACCGATATGCAAACAAGTTTGCCCCTCTTGATAGTACGGCCATCTATCCTAAACCCGGTCATATACTTCTCTACACACCTATGACCGGTGAAATGAAATGCCCTAGGTTCTACCTTTGCCTTGCGCATTCCATTCCATCTCCTCCAATGTCGATGCAACACATGCACCAACATGATCAACAATGATATGATCC